AGGTTTATATGCATATTCTATGTATTAATAAATGTATCCTCGTGTATTAGTACCTGTGTGTGTGCGTTGTTTGAGTTATGTCGCATGGTTGGATTCTAAAGCCATCAAAAGAATCAATTTTGTGATTTACTGCTACAATTAATAATTGTCCCAGTAAATGTCCAAACCCTACAGAACTGGTGCCCTCAGAGAGCACACTACATTTAATTTGGCGTCCCTGGGCCGGCTATGGCAACACTACATTTAATTTGGCGTCCCTGGGCTGGCTAAAGCCACTACAACACCATAGTTCCATCCAGACTAGTCACCGTGTTTAGTCATCTGGTATCAGCATCTGTCTTTGGAGTTGGATTCTGGATTTCCTGACTGGTAGATCACAGACTGTGAGTATCGCTGGAAAGTTTTCTTCCACGCTGACCATCAATATGCTGTACGTGCTCCTCAGGGTTCTGCGCTTACCCCTTGATTACTAGAATTTCCTTGATTACTAGAATTCCACCTACAAGTACGCTGAACCACCAGTAACAGTGAGATCGCCTACACCAATAGGGTCAGGAACATGGTGGAGGGGTGCCTTGACAACAATCTCTCCCTCAACATCAGCAAAACCAAAGAGCTGGTTGTCAATTTCAGAGTCAGGACCACACCCCTATTCACATCAGTGGGATGGCGGTAGAAATGGCTAGCAGCTTCAAGTTCTTGGTTACCTTCATTACTAACAATTTAATGTGGTCCCAGCATGTAACTAGAGCTAAAAAAGAAGGCACAACAATGCCTTTACTTCATCAGACAGTTATACTACAGGTGCACTATTGAAAGTGTGCTCGTATGTGGTACTGTACAGTATTAGTGTGGTTTGGCTGCAGCTCAGTGTCTGACCGGAAGGCATTACAGGGGGTGATCAGGTCAGCCCAGTCCATTATTGGAGTACACCTCCCCTCAATTATAGATATTTTTACAACTCGCTGTCTCAGGAAGGCTGTGAATATTGCTAAGGATAACAATCTACCTGGTTTCTCACTTTTATCTCCTCTGCCCTGTGGTAAGCGTTATCAGAGAATAAAGGCATGTACAGTACCTACTGATTCAGAGACAGATTCTCCCTGCAAGCTGTCAAATTATTTAATTCTACATCTACCATTGACTTATGCTGATGTTATTATGTACACCGATTGTGTGTGATTGACTTTTATTTGAGGGTTATTTAACTTTCTTGTTGTTGCTGCTGTTGGTCTGTGTTTAAGTTTGGTGTATCCTTAATATCATTTTATTGGAGCATACTGTACATGCAAATAAGCATTTCCTTGCACCTGTGCATATGAGAGATAAACTGAAGGGAATGTAAACTTTGTACTGGGTGCAAAGTAACTACTTGCTTTTTCTTTGTGGGAAAACAACAACAACACAAATATGTTAAAAAGTAACATAGAGATCTGGGAAAAAAACTATTTTAGTTGAAATAACACCATACCAGCATGTGTTAAATCTACAGTAGAAAATAATGTGCTTTTCTTGTTGAAGGATCTTTTATGATGAGATAACTCTCCATTAATAACCTCCCTGGATTGTCACAATCCAGCAGGTTTTTTAGGATAATCTTATTTATTCAAGCTATAGAAACTGAAACAATTTAATTTTGACTACCTAAACAGGATTTTTCTTCAGTTAAGTAGTTTAGGAGTCATTTGAAACAAAAAATACCATTGCCCAGTAGGTGTCAAGGACCACAGTTGGCCATTCCTGACCTAATTAAACCAATTAATTTACCAGATAGTTCAAAACTCACATATGCTCCAAGTCTTTACAAATTGATTATTTAAGCTTGACCCAGAAGACGTGGTGGATCGTGGTTCTCCAATACCAGGGTTACCCAACATAAAATATTAAAACAAGAACTCCTAATCAAAAAATCCTCAAAAGTATTGTCAGAGCAAATGTCAGTGCTGTGTACGTGTAGATTTTACACACTACTAGACTCAAGGTGAAAAGGTTCTCTTATTTCCTGGGGAATTCCAGGGGCCTGCAGACCAGAAATTGAGAACTACTGATCTAGAAAGAAGTAGATATGGTATACATCAGGTGAAGATTTATTTTATTTATGAACTTGAAAATTGTGATGATACCAATAGATGAAAAATAGTTGCAACTGTAACATGTTTCTCTGTGATGTTAAACTTTGCTAAGGTTTTGGCAATACATTCATATAAAGGAAATGTGAAAAAACAGTGGATTCATACAGTATTTGACCAACGTTTTGCTTTCGCTGCAGCTCTGTTGTGAACTGTTGAGTAAATATGGTAGGAATATAATCAAAGGTATGCAATAAAAGAGTTTCTTTGCTGCTTTGCATCATTGGGGCCTTGTGTTCAATTCTGGACCTGGTCATTCTCTGCGTGGAGTATATGTGCCTCCCATGGTCCAAAGACATAGTGGTAAATTAATTGGCTTCTGGAAAAATTGGCTCTGGTGTGAGTGTGTGCATGTTTGTGTTTGTGTGTGTTGTTTGAGATGGACTGGCATCCCATCCAGTGTGTATCCTGCCTTGCACACATTACTTGCCAAGATAGGCTCCCCCATGACCCTGTATTGAATAAAGTGGTTTAAAAATGGAAGGATGAATGGATATAATACAAACAGTTACATGTTGAATAATGTTTGCTGCTTAAAACAGATCTAAAAATCTTATAATGCAATTATATCAGCTTAATAAAGAGCAAAGAGATATTTGTAATAAAAAAACAAATTCTAGAAAAAGCACAGGTCATATTAACTATTTTTACATATAGTGCTGTATGTTGCCATACTTTTCAGTAGTCCTTAAAATAAAATCCAACAAAAACAAATCTAAAATAGCATTCTGCTCCTTGATAGTGCACAGGACGCAAAATAAATTATACAGAAACACCTCAAGAATTCCTCAAGAAATCTAAAAACAATGAGTAGAATGTGCAGTATTTGCACAGCTACAGAACAGGTTGATCAAAGGAATCTTGTAAATTACTCTGCTTAAACATAACGAGGAAGAAAACATTCTACACACACAACACACCATAAAACAACAATGAGATGAAGAAAAGACGGGGGTTCAAAAAGATAGAAGAAACATCACCTGTCTCTTGTGCCAGGTTTGTGCAATTTGAGTGGACCTTGTTCTGATCAGTCATGGATACCAGACTCTGGCTAAGTGATCTGAATCTTGTTTAAGACAGCATGTTTTCTTTTCACTTAAGGATATTATGGTTTTCTTTATTGTGGAGTCCCAAGGCTAAGAACCTGATCTTGTGATGCATCTTCAGAATTGGGAGATAGATTCCAATTCACTTTTGAGCTTGCAGGTCATAGGAAAGATTTAATGCTGGATGGCATTCTTTTATTTAGGATTCAGGTTTTATACTGTATCTTGTTTGCCTTTCAAGATATCATGTAGGATTTGAAGTTATAGGGCTAGAATCCTGGGTTTTCTGGGTCTGTAGAGCATAGGCCTCTCAGATGCCCTGTTTGTAAACATTGTAACAACTACATGTGATTTTGGTTAGTGGTGTGTGTCTGTAAAGGTTTTGTGACATTTAACTTTGTGTTATTGTGATTGTTAATAAATATTTGTTCACATTTGCTCCTGATTAATTCAGTAGTCCCAAAATTATAGAGTACCTACCACTTGTTTTTTTTGTTTTGATTAGTTTTTTACTTATTTTATTTCCTACTCTTTTTTTTCTTAATGCCCCCCCAAGATTGTAACAATACAATATGATTAGCTCAGTATCCATTACTGCTGTTACTTGTTCACAGAACACGTTATTTAAGCAAAATAACATAGTAAATCTATGTTGATTATTCCTTATAATATTATTGTTTTAATTATTGTTTCCATAACCTTACATGTAATTGAAGTAAGGCTTTTTGGTCTGTACTTGATTTAGTTTTGTCACCCTTTTAATAGATTTGCACTACATTAACAATATTCCATACAGTGGGTATTGTCCCCATCTCAAGAGATTGCTGAAAACGTTTTAATGAAGACCTACGCATAAAATCTTGTTTTGAATTGTACAACTGGTAGATTACCATTGGGTCCTGGAGATTTGTCTAAGTGCATGTATTAGACTTCTGTCTAATATGCTCATATTATTTAATTGATATGGAGTTTTCCTTCCTGGTTGAACCCCTGAAACAGTGAAAGTGAAACAGGTATTTAATACAGCAGCCAATTCATTGACATTGTCTACAGTACATCTTTACAACTGAATCACCTTTATTCAACTTTCATTGTTCTTTGGCTCTTGCAATAGTGAAAAAAAAAATATTTCTCTTACTTGGCCTAATATCCTTATTAGCCTCTCCTGGAGGCTCACTTTACTTGTTTTCTTAATTTGAGCATGTTTTTATTAGAGCTTTGTAAAGTGATTATTTTTTCTTTGGCGTTTTTGTCAAATTCTAATAAGAAGAAATGACAAAAATAAAAGATATTGTATGTAATATTTTAGTCTTTGGTGCTACCTCACCTGGATGAGGAAATGAGAACACTGGCCATAAGGTCAACACTGCCAACAATTCCTATACTTGCAAGGAATGAACCAGGAAGGTGCTGCAACGGTGAAGATGAGAGGTGCTTTAAAACATAAACGCAAAGAGGGCAAAACAGATGAGTAATTTTACATAAGAGAGCAGACATTCAAGATTACAATTTGACCTCTTGAATGTCTTTTTAACAATTCTTTTTGAATGATTTATTTAACCATTTGGGCCACAAATTTCTATGTTTTGATTTACTCATGGGATAAATCTAGTCTGTGGTTCAAGGAGAATCTCTTTTAAATGTTTCCATTGATTCTTCATTAATTTCATATCTGTTCTGTCCCACTCTATTTATCTCAATCTCTATCATATTTCTTCACAATCCTTTCCTTAACTGTTAACTTTTCACTTGTAGTCTCCCTACGTATACAGTTCCAGACTATACTTCAAAATGTACATTTTTATCGTTGTTGATCCCTAATTGTTCTCTCATCTATGTTTCCCTAACTCTTTCTGAATTGTTTGAAAATAGTTATTTTCAGAGACACAGAGATAGCTTTGAGAAACATAAATGAAGGCTTACAAATGTGTTCATATGGGGCAATCTTTGAAACTAATAGAATGAGCAGATATCAGAAAGACTAGTCACAGGTGCAAGTCAAAAATAATTAAAGTGACGAGAAAGTATTTAAATTTTCCTGTTCCAAGAAATAACAGTACAATATGTGAGTAGAAAAACATGAGATTGTAAGAATGTCAGACATTATGTTATTGTAAAAGCTTTTTTTACCACTGTAGACACAGGAGATTTTAGAAGTTACCTTTGTAAAGGCACAATATTATTCTGTTCAATGGAATATCTACAGATATGTAATTTATGTCATGAAGGGGTCACTTTTCAATATGATAGCAACCGTAAATTACAGCTACATCTAACCAAAATTGCATAAATCAGGAAAACCATGTCTTTTATTTTAAAACACGGTGTTTTAAAACACTGTAGATGCACTGAGCTTCTAAACTGACCTTAAATTGAGCCTCAGTAACAAGATCTGTTAAGAAAAAGTTAAAAGAATTACCTTTTCTGTTTCTGTTGAGATGCTCAAGGTGTTGTACATAGTAGTTACTCAGCTTCTCTCACCACATGCTCCTTTTATGTCACTGTTTTAATTGCATAGGCACTGATCCTGGGATGGAGATGGGGAACAGTTCTTCTGTATCTTAAGAATTGTTTGTGTAGGAGGACTATATATAGTCTATATGTACTAGTTCTCCTCTACCAGGTGCCCAACTATTCACAGGCACAATTGCCATGGCAACCTCCCACTTCACAATCACCACCCGTAATACATGAGTTCCTTCCTACACATGGCATTTTTCGCTGATCTGCTTCAGGAAATTTCTTCCATGGTTCTGGAGTTTCGCTGCACCGGAAGACTGTATCCTAAGGCCTTCTGTGTCAAAGGCTTAGAGCAGGGTTTTCCTTTTCTGTGTTGTGAGATAGTGAAAATGGCAAACACATCCCCAGTTACTTATAGCCTACAGTATATGTATATTTTTTGTATAAGGGTATGTAGGCTACTGAGCTCCTGTAATTGAAATATCAGTGTAGAAATTACTCAATAGCTTCAAATAATTAAAAAAAAACTTTATGCAGACTACATCACCCAGTAACTATCTTCTAATAGAAATGTGTTACAATAACATAGCGATTGATAACCATACACTAGAGTTACAATATTGACATACCCAGTAATAGTTAATAGACACAATACTAATACTTTATTACTATTACTATTCTGAGAGTGCTCCCTGGCTATTAGACTGACACATCACAAGAATCCCTTCCTACCTCCTCTTACTGTATATACAGAAAATTCTACTCCAGTCTCTTCTCTCCCTCACACTTATTTAAGTAAAATTTCTGATAATACATAAATTAATTTAAAACAAAAACTATTCTCAGTCATGGAAGTAATTTTTTCCAAGGCATTTTTAGTCATCTCAGATGCAAAATAATGTTAGAAAGATAAAAAAAAAGTAATGTAATGGTCCCTGTCTGCTTGCAATCTAACCCTTTTCACTTGACAATGAATTTCAAGCCACAACTCACATAGCTATGGGAAATCAAACATGAAAACAAAGAACTTTTTAAAAACAGCAATGATGTTATGGAACCACCTTACATCTGCCTCCAAAATATAGGGATAGCAAAGTCAAAACTGATTTTTTTGTTTTACAGTCAATCTGTGATATGTGATAAGTAATATGAATTTTAAGTTTAATATGTTTTATTTGGGGCTAATTTCATGCATCTACAGTATTTGCTCATATTGGAAATAAGCATACTTTGTGTTCTACCAAATTATTTTAAATTTCCATGAATTAGAACACTTTCACTTAAATCTCAGAGGGCAAAAGGTTGCATATCCCTTTGAGGCAATGATTACATAAAGTCTGTGACTCGTTGAGCTCGACAAACGTTTTTTGTAATCATTTGAGATGTTTTGCTGCAGCCACTTTGAGTTGATGCCTATCCTTGGGGTGTCCTGATTTTTTTTTTCAGCAAGTAAAGTGCACGCTCAGTTGGATCTTAACAAGGAGATTAATTTGACCAGTGTAAGATTTACTACTTTTTTACTCCTGATGAGCACCTTGGTTGGCAGTGTACAGCAGTTTTTCAGAAGATTAGAGTTACTTTACAATGTTTGTGTCACGATATTAGTCCCCCCTCCTTAAGGGTGCTCCAGCCCTTTCACGTGAGACTTTATTCTGTGCACCTGTTCCCTATTCCCAGCCCACCTTAAAAGCCAGGCGCTGACGCTCATCCGGGCTCTGCATCTGATTTCCATACCGTGCGAGTCCGGGACCTGGAAGCACCTGGTCCCGTTAAGTTTTTAACCTCGGTTCCCGTTCCCGTTCCCTCTCCGCCGGTTCCGACCCGGCCTTCGTGTTTTTAATTCCTTCGTCTGGTGGATCTCCTGGTTTTGGACTTACCCTTGCGTTTTGGATTTTCCCTAAGGACTACTCTCTCGGATTGTTCACCTCGGCCACACCTCCCCCGTGCACCAGCGTACCTTGGACAAGCCCCCTTGTCTTCAGCCCTGTATTCCTGCATGACGTTTCCCTAGTGTTTCCCCACTCCGTCGGACTGTGTCGTCCGCATAGGGTCCGGAAAGAACTGTTCGTTACAGTTTGAGAATGAGATTACAGACGGGATGAATGATTTCACATTTAAAGTCTTTTTTTTTTTACCATTGACAATCAACCGGTAGAGCCCGACCACAAATTACAGTTAGATTTGAGGGTTGTTGCCTTTTTCCTAACATCAATGTACAGTTCCTTTCATTTTCTAACTTATAAAATCAATGAAAACTCTTTACATCATGTATTAAAATTATAATGAGATGTGTGTGTTTGCTCTTACAATTGTTAGTGTACAAAACACGTGAAACAATACAACCTTGTGCTGACCCAGTAGAAGTCTAGAATATATCAGATAATCATTTCTCCACTTAAACAAGTCTAGAACCTACTGTATTTCATCAAGTAGGAGAACTCTTTGAAAGTTTCTGTGCTAGCATCGTTGATTGCTTTACTGTATATTGAAAGCAGAGGAAAAATCAACAACTATGATTCTTACAAATGTCAATGCCTGGTCAAGATGTTGATAGACCATGTTTAATAAAGTACAGCAGTGTCTACTCCCCTGTTTTTTTGTATGAAAACCACATCAGGTCAATAAGGTTCTGTGTGTTCTTTGTAATGTGTTGCTTCAGTATTCTCTTCAGACTTTCATTGAGAGACAAGTGAAAGCAACTGGTCTGTAACTCAGTTGGCCTCACATTTTTGTAATAGGAATAATAATAGATTTCTTCCACAGAAATGGAATGATTTTTATTTAAGGACATCTGAAAAAGCATTTGAAAAATGCTACCTAGCTGACCTGCAAAAGATTGCAGAACTCTTCAATGCATATTATCCAGTTGTATACTTTTTCTTATATTCATTCTCAAATGCACCCTTAACAAGCTGATTTTAATAAACTCTTTAGGTACTGGGAAATCAGCAATATTAACTGAGGTAGTTGTGGGTTTTAATTCAAAATGCATACAGTATAAAGCACATTTAAATCATTTACAGTTTAACACCAGTATAGTATTGCCCCCACCTTTCAGAAAGATATTGGCCATTTAATGACCTGGAATGCCATCCTGACTCATTCTTATATTTAGTTATTGTATTTTTTCTCTGTTCTGATTCTAAGCTTTTCTGCTCTCCCTTTTTACCTTCACCTTTTTCTGTGTTACCCTCCTGAGCTTTGTGTTTCTTGAGAGAAAGCAAGTTTCTTTTTAAGAAGTACAGTACAGTATGTATTTGAGACTCTTGGTTACCCAAGGTTGGTTAATGGGAAAAACACTTGAAGCTTTTGGTAGGACTAATGGCGTCTACACAGAAAGGAATAAAACTCAATACTACAGTACAACAACATGTTCTTGAATATTCTTCAATGTGTCTTTGAACACATTCCATTGTCTGCAATTGAAACAACCCTGCAGATGTTACAGAAGGTACTTTCTAGGTCCCAGACTTTTATTCTTCTCAATTCCATTTTTGTTCCAACAGCAGCTGATAGATTGTCCTGATAAGTAGTGTTGCAACCAGAGTTGCCTAGTGGAGGACTGGAAAGTTAAGAGTAGACATCAGTAATTGTCCCGAAGCAACAATTGATAATTCTGTTCATTCGCATGGAAAAGCCATATATACTAATATGTACAAAGACTCTTTTTCTGCGTCTGTTATAATCTCCCAAAATGAATTAAGAAGCACCTGGGGATGATCATCCAATTTCTTAGTACTGTAACATAAAAAATTAGCCATAATAACCATTATAAAAAGCTGTGGAAATGTTCAAGTAAGATAGAATACACACTTAACAGATCAAGTTCGGTCATACACTCTCACAGGTGATAACTGTGTGGCACAAAAGGTTATTTACAATCAGACCATCCCTTCCACCATGCTGGTTGTGACTTTGTTACTGTCCAGTTGGTGTAGTGATAATCCCTCTGGCATAGCATCTTAAGATTGGTCTGGTCTCAACATCATAAACCTGGTCTTTATGGTCTTGTCTAGCCACATCTCTGTTAATGCAAGCATGCAGGCATCTCGAAAATTGTACATGAATTGGTCATTAACATGAGGTTCATTCTTCTCTGCCAAAGCTCAATCTCCCCCTCCTGCAACCCTTTCACATTCTTTTGTGATTAACATTTGTATTCTAAGTAGAACAGAGAATATTTGCACAAAGTATGGCAAACTGTGAATCCAAGGGTAGAAATGATTAAACCTTTAGGTTAAGATGAAGTCTTTATTTCAAATCATGTAGCACATTCCAGCCATTAACAGTAAGACCCAGGTAGTCCACAGAAAACAGTAACACCAAAACCAGTACCTTAATGAGGCTCAGCAAATCATTACTGACCATGCTTCTCCTGTATATCCTGAAATTGTACGAATATCAAATAATGAAGCTGTACATAAGTAATAAAATTACAAAATAAAACAGAAAAAAACAAAACAGCAAGTAAACAGGCACGGACAAGATACCCTGCTGGTTGCTATAAAGCAGTGCCCACTAAAACTCACGTGCTCAGATAACTAAACCTGAAATGCATGAACCTACTGTATATCTCCATTTTTAGCTTTTTTGCATTGGGTCCATGTGGATTTCAGAACAAAAGTCAATTTTTTTTTCCTTTTAAAGGCTTGAAAGCTTGGATTCCTGACTACAGTATATCAGTGAACTTTTGGCACTCTATCCACCTACACACGTTTTGCACTGTTTCGGCTCAGGCCTTCTTTCAGTTCCCCAATGTTCTGAATACTGGGAGAAAGCGCTTTCAGTTCTGTTGCTCCAAGGCTCTAGAATGTTCTCTGAGCCTATTTTTGATCTTTCAAGTTGGTCAGGTCCTGTCTTTAAAACTCACATTTATATACTAGTTTTTAATTTTGTTGATTTAACTATATGTATTTGTCCACATCTACTTTGATTATTTTGCCATTGTTTTACTTAATGGTAAAACTTAACAGCAGGTATCATGAAAAGTGATATTCAAAGTAAACAATATTATTACATTTTGACATTATGATGTGTTTGTTTTTGTTTCACTGTGAGCACCTCCTGCTCTGATGCAAAGTTTAATTTAGGCAATTCCT